TGGGGGGAGACCTTGGATTCACGCAAGTGCTACACAAATGCGCAGCACACAAAATTCAGTATTTTACCTTTGGAGCCTCGATGGCGGTGTAAGTGGCCCCAGGCGGCACTTGATAGCCCTCGGTGTAAAGTTTGAAATGATGGATCAGCGCCTCCATGGAGGACTAAGAAGAGGGAGAAAAAAAAAAGACGGGTTTAAACGTCGCCTCCGGGTGCTTTTGTGGTTTAATGAGGGTGACGCCTAACCAGAAAGAGAATCTTCAGAAGGTTAAGTCACGGCAATGGAAGCCAAGTTTATTGAAACTGAGATGTTTGGTTACTCATCCAAGCAACCTTTTACTAGGTAGGTAGGCAGGGAGGGAGGGAAGGGAAGAAAGGAAAGGAAGGAGGAGGGAAGGAAGGGAAAGGAAGGCAGGGGAGGGAGGGAGGGAGGGAGAAGCGAAAGAAGGAGGGAGGAAAGGAAGGAAGGAAAAAGGGAGGGAAAGGAAGTCAGGTGAGGGAGGGAGAAAGGAAGAAAGGAAAGAAGGAAGAAAGGAAGAGGAGGGAGGAAGGGAAGGGAGGAAGGAAGGAAGGAAGGGAGAAAGGAAAGAAGGAAGAAAGGAAGGGGAGGAAGGAGGGAGGAAGGAAAAGGAGGGAGAGAGGGAAGGGAAGGGAAGGGAAGGGAAGGAGGGAGGAAGGAAGGAAGGAAGGAAGGAAGGAAGGAAGGAAGGAAGGAAGGAAGGAAGGAAGGAAGGAAGGAAGGAAGGAGAGCCCTGGTGGTGCAGTGGTTAGGATGTAGTATTGTAGGCTAATTCTGCCCCCTGCCAGCAGTTCGATCCTGACCGGGCTCAAGGTTGACTCAGCCTTCCGTCCTTCCGAGGTGGGTAAAATGAGGACCCAGATTGTTGCAGGGCAAGAGGCCGACTCTGTAAACCACTTAGAGAGGGCTGTAAAAGCACTGTAAAGTGATATATAAGTCTAAGGGCTATTGCTAGTCCTTCCTTCCTTCCTTCCTTCCTTCCTTCCTTCCTTCCTAATGGTTAGAATGCAGGATTGCAGGCTAACTCTGCCCCCTGCCAGCAGTTCGATCCTGACCGGGCTCACGGTTGACTCAGCCTTCCGTTCTTCCGGAGGTGGTTAAAACGAGGACCCAGATGGTTGAGGACCATATGCCGACTCTATAAACTGCTTAGAGAAGGCTGTAAAAGCACCCTAAAAGCGGTATATAAAGTCTTATGGCTACTGCCACCCGGTTGGGATTCATCCTTCCTGGTCTTTCCCACCAACGAGAGGGCAAAGATTTTCCGGGAGACCCAACTCTTACCTTCATCTCCGCCCTCTTAGGAGGCGAGACCTTGGCGTCGTCCACTTTGATCTCCCCTTCCGGCATCTTGTTCAGGGCCTGCAAGATGATGCGGAGCGACTGGCGCATCTCTTCTATGCGGCAGAGGTACCTGTGGGGAGGAAGGAAGACGTCTCGGTCCTGAAGGAACGAAACCAGCTCTGGTTTTCCCGGGCAAAGCCCTGCCTAGAGTTAAAAACCATCGCTTCCTCTTCTCCCCACCCCCGGGTCGATCCCATTGTCCCAATGACGAGACGTCCTTTTTTGTTATGGGAACAGGTTGTCTCTCTCACAGCACCTGCAGTGGGGACCTTGATGCTTTTCCAGGCTCTCCCGATTCCCACCTACATTCTTGGCGTTGAATTTCCCCCTTTCTCTCCCCCTCCAGTTCATTGGCAAGTTGAGATAGGTTAGGGTTTCTCCTTCGCAAGGGAACAAGGGCTTTCTGGGCCCTCCGAAGCTTTGCAGCTCACGCTCTGGAATTCTGATACAGGAAGTCCTCGACTTACGACTTACAGGGGAGCCCAAAATGTCCGTCGTGAAGCGAGACACTTGTTAAGGGAATCTCGCTGTCAGGATTCCAGCAGTTGCCCGATTAAATCATGAGCTTCAAGCCCCACTCCCAAAGCTGAAGAGGATTTATTTGAAGTTAACATTCTACGTCCTGCACTAACCTGGGCGTAGCCGACTCTGAGATACGTAATTCACTGTCTGTCACCCTTGATCCTGCTTCCCCCCCCTCTGGGTGTATCATCCAACGAAACACATCCATAGCCAAGAGTCGTCAATCATGCTCTCCAATTAGATTTTTGCACGGCAGAAGCTGCAGCCATCTAATCGGTCTTTGAAGAAAATATGAATGGAATGTACTTTCGATTCCACGCTGCCGCCTGCTCTTTGAAACTCCCCCCACTTCCTTCTGTTGACAACCATAAAACGTGTGTACAAATGTTTTATCAGTTGACACTCGCCCCGTTTTGCTTTCTTGTCGCAGTGTGTTCAGGGAATCCCTGCAGTCGTTAAGTGAGCCGGGCCTCCCCTTTAGCTTCGCTTGTCAGAAGGTCGCAAAAGGGGATCACGACACGGCAACTGTCGTAAGTACAGGCCAATATTGAATAACCCACTCTTCAAAAACAAAAAAAACCCAGGTATATTAATACTAGGATTATATGTGTGATTAATTAATATAGCAACTATTATAATTATCATGATTGCCGCTTGTATCCAAATGAATTACACCCAGAGGCCACCCTGTTCATGTATTGAGACCGATGTATACTTAAAAAAATAAAAACCCAATAAAACTTGGGAAAATAAAATATAAAAATAGGCACACACCAGTGGCCAGGAGCCTGAATTTGGATCATGTGACCCTGGGGGAGGCCGTGAAGGTCATAATGGTGAAAAGCAGTCCTGGTTTTTCAGTGCCGTTGTAACTTTGAACTAGTCACTAAACGAACCGTTGCAAGCCCAGGACGACCTACCTGTGCTGAAGGCTCCTGGGAATAGGGGAGGGCTGTGTTTCCCCCAAGCTGCAGCCATACCTGTCGTAACAGTCTCCCTTTGATCCAATCGGCACGTCAAACTCCACCTGGTCGTAGGCGTCGTAAGGCTGGGTTTTGCGAAGATCCCACTGGATCCCCGATCCACGAAGCATCACTCCGCTGGTGGGGAGTGGGAAAAGAAGAAACCGATCAACAGCCTGCCTATCTATCTATCTATCTATCTAATTAATTAATTAATTAAATTTAATTTATATTGCTGCCTATTTGCCCATGGCGACTCGAGGCGGCTTACCCAATGTAAAACCATATTTAAAACAAAAAATTAAAACTAAAAAAAAACGATAAAAACAAAAAGAATCAAATAAATTAGTAAAGTAGGAGAAGAGGAGAAGGGGGAGGCGGAGGAAGCCAAAAACTTTACCTAAAGCCACAATTCAGCGCATCTTCCGCGGAAATCACCCCTATATCGATAGTGCGGTTCCTCCAGATCCGATTGTTGGTCAGCATCTGAACAAATAAATCATTCTTAGAAGATTATCTCAGTTAGAAAAGGAGGAAAAACAACCAGCCTCTATTATCCAACCATTTGTAAAACAACGTTTGAAAATCTTTTTGTGTGTGCGTGTCTTTAATGCCAATCTGTCTATTTCTGGACAATCTAAATTTTTAAAAAATGACAAAGTCTTCTTTTTTAGGATGTTTCCTCATTTTCCCCAGTGCTGTGCAAATGCAATTCTTGCTGCTCTCGATACATGTAATCTTTTATCTATAGATCTAAAAGTGAAATACTGCTCACGCATCCTCACAAAATCTACGGAACCGTAAAGCCTAACAAACTTGAAATTTGGCCCGTAGGTTCCTCTTGGCTTCTAGGAAGGATTATTTTTCCAAATGACCCTCAGAGCATTTAGAGTATTTCTATTATTATTATTATTATTATTATTATTATTATTATTATTATTATTATTA